ATGCATAAGTTCGTTGAAAATTTCTATAAGATTTTCCATTGAAATGTCGTCAATGACATAACTGTCCGGATATCCCTGTAAAAAAAATTCCCCGACCTAATATCAAATATCTGCGTTCCTTTACGGACGCACTATATGTACATACTCGTATACTTATTTAAAGAAAGTTCAAGGAAATATGTTTAAATTGAGAATGCAGAAATTTACAATTACGTCAATACATACTCGCAATTTTGCTTAATGGAAAATTTATATTCGGCGAACGTATGAAATTAAAATACAAAAAAGTGTTTCTTTACAACAGATAATACGTAAATACCAGTGAGTCGAGAAGAACCGGAATATTATGCAAATTAATTGATACTCATGAATGACAAGTTTAGTACTACCGGACCGGATGAATTTAGAATATTTTATATCTATTAATAGAGAGTCCCAAAACTGCAGAAGACAGTTCGCTTTAAGGATATTTTATATCTACACGATATTTACAGATTTAGAGATAATTTTTTAATGATTAAGAATCAAAATTGTTGAAACTCCAAACGGTAGTCAAAATGAATAATAATAACTCAGATCCTAAAAATTTATTGAAAACTTCTGGAATTGTTCCTGTGTTACACAACTGGCGAACAGTTGTGGGCTTAAATAGAGTGTCGTCAGCTTTTTTGTCCCGTTTCTTTAGTAAACAGAAAAGTTAATTTTATCTAATCATCATCAGTTCTACTCTAGTTTTCATTACGGATCCGTATGTCTTTTATTCTGAAAATTATTAGTGAACAAATGTTTAAGAGAAATCATTTATTCTTCTAGATCTAGATCCTTACTTATTTTCTCTCTCTTTTCTTTTGTGAAAGGACAGCGTGCCTATGGTGTGTGTAAGTACGAATAAACATACTAAAATGGCTCGTCAACACAACAGCAATGAATTAATAAACATGACGGTAACATAATGAACTGTATAACGACTTCCAAACAGGCATACACCAACACTTGCAATCCGAGGCACAACTATAGGTAGAGTCAGCAGTTCCAAAAAGTTTTCGTCGTATCAATGGGATAAATTAATAATAGGTATTAAAAAAGTATTCTATTTGCAAAAATATTTCTACCAACTAATCGAGAGTAAATACTCTGCATTGGTATAACTTAAATTCTTTTTTTAATACATATTTCATTCAAATTGTTAAAGAAAACCCGATTGAACCATATTATTTCTGTGTTACAAAAATATCAATATGTGAAAATGGAACCAACTAAAGTGACTAAAATAACCGAAGTAATAAAAACTCTATTATCTCTTTCGAATCGATAGATTTAACTCGTCTGTACCTAAGTACAGTCGCCATCACACTCACTAGATCTCGATCCCTTGTAACTGTTTTTGTAATTTTTTTTTGAAATACTGTTTTATATAACTAATATGCCAAATTACTTAAAGGATAGTATAAATAATTGTTTGTCAAACTGTTAAATGTTTTGTTATGTTTGAGATGATAATAACTGACCGTAACGAAATGGTGGTAAGTTCTGACCTTTCTGCGTTATAGCCCGTTGGAAAATAGAGACATCGAACAGTTTTATTCCTAATAAAATGGCCACTAATTTGAGGTTTCGCAAAGTGTGTATTGCCATTTAAGGCTTTACGTGTTAGCGGATGGTTAGTTTTGAAAGCCTATACACTAGAATAAAACTACCAACCTACGTCCCCATTTAATCTACTAAAACGTTTTCTTGGAGTTTTCGTGTATCAGTATTTATTTGAATTATTTAAAACAATCTTCCCTATAAACAAAGTAGCTTTTCCTTCAGACACGCACTGTCCTGTCCTATCACTGCTAGATTAAAGTTTTTAAAAAATATTCGAAAAAAATTTCTCTAAAGAATTGTAACGGATTCAATACATGTCTGAAGTATGAAAATTAAATGTTACTATCTTTTTCTCTCCACTTCATACGAAGAAAAGAAAAACGGTTAGACTCCCCAATATTTTAGGGCATAATATAGATACTTCAATGTAAAAATTTTCTGTCCACTGCCAACACCTCGAAGTGTTAGCTATATCTAAAATAAACACCTAAAATTCGGATTAAATAGGAATCAATTCTATCTGTATCTCGGAAACTAGTCGAGACAGAAAGAAATGTTATATGAAAAGGTTTTCTGCTTAAGAGTATGCGTTTAATCATTTTATTTTCAAATATACAGGGTGCCCCAAAAAGATGGGGTATGTTTTTAAGTTTTTGGGATCTCCTTTTATTTCTGAATATATTTGATTAAACATATTCTATACCTATCATTAACCTTTTACGATATATAAACAGTTTAATCTTGATTCAGACCTTTTCCATACTCTTAAATAAATAAAGTAGGTGTTGATTACACGTCAAAAATTCTTCAATGTAGCTTTGTAACAGTTTCATTGACAGTAATTAAATTTCAAACTCTCCATTTAATTTTCAAATAAGTATTAGAGATATGCCATTAATTTTTACACCAAATGAATATGTTGATAATATGTTACTTATTTATGGCGAGTGTCGAAAGAATTCCAGAGCCGCAGAACAATTGCAAAGGGAAAAATTTCCTAATAGACATGTGCCATCTAGACCAACACTTTCTAGTGTAGAGCGAAAATTGCGTACTGGTTCATTTCCAAACCCAAGAGGAGTTCAGAAGAAAATACTATCAATATTCTTGCGTTTATAGCAGTCAATTCACATGCGCCTGTTCGTAATATTGCGGAAGAGATTGATATAAGCAAATCTTCGGTTCACCGAATTCTAGAAAATAATGGACACCATCCTTTTGTCCTTTTTAAGAGATGTTTTCCCGATCTTATTGAAGTCCTCTGTGGGGATATTTAAAGCAAGTTGTGTACACTGCAAAACCGAATAACGTTGAAGTTCTACAGAATAAAATCACTCGTGCTTGCCGTCAAATATCTCCAGAAGTTATGCGGTTTTCTTGAACACAAGCACTTTTAAGGAGGTACGAATTGCGTCAAAATGAAAATGGCCGACAATTTGAGCACATTTTATAATAGCTATAATGTTTTTTATTTTGTCTTATTTTTGAGAGTACCTACTTATTAAAAAAATGTTACTCCAAAAATGTTTTCTACATTACCTCAAGAACGGTTAATGATAGGTATAGAACATGGTTATAAGAGGAGAACCTAAAAAACTTAAAAATATACAGGGTGTTTCATTTAAAAAATTGAAGTTCTGCAATATACCATCTTTTTGGGGCACCCTGTATATTTCAAAATAACATGATCTTTTTAAGCAGAAAACCTTTTCTATATAACATTTTTTTCTGTCTCGACTAGTTTACGAGATAATGCCTGTCTAAATAGCTCTGGGACACTCTGTATAATTCGTTGGAAGTTCACTTGAAATGAAAAGTTTATGTCCCGAATTTTGGTTATGAACATTACAGTCTTCTTGTATGAAACGTTTTTTAATTTAATTTGAAGATCATCTCCCTTGTCAAAATATTTACACGGGAAGTTATATTTTATTAATCATCATTCCTCTTTCATTATCGTTATCTAATTTGTTTTAAAATTCCAACGACATGCAGTCCGTACGATATTTGTTGAGATTAAACGAGAAAAGAGAATTAAAAGAAAAATTTTTTCTTTGCAACGTTGTTTTAAACCTTCAAAGGTCACACTCGTGCGAATTCGCACCACCGTTTTTTTTAACAGCTGACATTTCTCAGGTATCAGTCTGTTATTGTCGGTCAAACAAAAGAGTCTGAAAAGTCCGATCGGTGCGAATTCGCACTAGTATGATTTTAGTGTGGGCAAAAGTGCGGCTGAATTTATATCATATAATTTAGAAATAAAGGGAACTGAAATGCAAATTTATGTTTTTTTTCACCTCATTTTACTTGTCGAATAGATGAAAACATTGTTTATTTAGTTATTGTTAATACATATCTTTTTTTCATTAATAATAAGTATTTGTCAATATTTATGGATAATATTATTTAAATTAATATTTTTATACAAAAGAGTGCAAAATAAACATCAATTTACATAAAAATAGCCAAAAATCACTACTTCAAAGAAATGCCTATAGGTATATTGATTTTATCAATTTGTGGTATTTTTTTTTAAATATAGTCTTTGAACTTCAAAACCCTGTTTTTACTTTTTCTCTAGCCATTATTTATAAAAAAAAATACGAATTAAAAAAAAGTCATTTTTCAAAAAATGTTTTTTTTTCAATTGCATTTTTTATTAACAAATTAATTTTTTTCCAAAACTAATTCACCATTCGATTTCTCGGAAAATATTACCCCAGTTTTGATATAAATACGTTGTTTTCGTTAACAATTAAAAATGACATAAAGGATCAAAGTTGGCAAAATTCCAATTCGCACTAGTGTGACCTTTACGTTGGCCCACCTCAATAGGGACCTTTGAGGGTTAACTTAAGCTCAAATCATATTTCAATCGGAACGGCGAACACCACGCCGCCAATGTCTTTCTACCTCGGTTGTCGAATGCGGTTAATTCCAAGAAAGTGACGCAGGGGTCCTCTTTGAATTCTATCTCAACAAATATCGTACGGACTGTATCTATGTCACTCATTTGAGCGGTTAATTAATTTATTCAGATGATTGGATTGTAAAGAGAAAATACACACATTTGTTCGCAAAATATTTAGATATAATATTTTTTTCGATTTTTTTTAAGTTTAACATCCTGTATCTCACAAACTAATTTAAGGATAAATTTTTATATAAGAAAATAGTCTTTTTGGCTTTTGACACGAAGTAATGTTACACCCTGAAGATTAATGACAACTATTGTCATTTGTATATTGTAATGTATACGAAAATAAGTAAATTTCATAAACACGCTTGACTTATGTAAGTATTTAATACACATTTCAGGACACTAACTTGACCAAAAAATTATCTGATATTTTCAAGTTTTCCAACCAGATTTAAAAAATTTCCAGGTTGCGAAAATATAAACCCTGTATTAGATTATTATTTTCAAAATTATATACTGGCCGCCATAAAGTTTGTACCAAACAGGAAGATATTTTGTCTATGATTTTAGAAAAAAACTTATGATAACTTTTGTTTGTCTAAATTCAAAGGGCAACATAAACATACTGGGAGATTTTTGGTTAAAAAAGAATTGTCTCTTATACTTTAACAAAATTTAAAATATTATTTTTCGAAAAATATTTAAAATTTCTGGCTGAAAAAACTAACTCGACTTATAATACTGATAAGTATTCTTATATAATATATAAGTAGGTTAAGTTAAAAATAAATGCACCACAATTTAAAGCAATTGAAAAGAATTAAAAACTGATATATTACCGATTTTCTTTCGTTTTTTTTTTTGAAAAATTTAAAAATAATTTTTAATTTTGGTTTGGTTATTAAAATAACTCCATTTTTTCCAAAATTAAAAATCAACCAGTAAGTCTAGGCTACGCTTATTTGATATTCAGACAGAAAAAATATTTTTTGACAATTTTTTGTTGAATTATAATACAAAAATTCTTGACATCTAATGGCAGTACCTCGTAAATAAAAACCATTTACAAATGGAACTTTATATATTCTATGAAATTTAGAGAAGTTCATTGATATTTCCTTGATATTTCTGGATCTATTACATTCTCTGACAATTCTAGGTTTTCCACATTGGTATAGACCCTTAACTACAGATCTGCATTTTTTACATGTGATGATTTTCGATACCCCTTGCTATTAAAAAAAAAGATGAATAAAAGTTTTATGTTAAAGTTTGCTTTGACCAAATAAAAATCAGGTCTATTCGTTTTTCTTTTCTATACCCATAAAAACTGTTGCGAGGGAATAACTTAACACTTAATTCTCAGCCAACATAATAAATAACGGCTTAAAAAATTTTCTAAATTATTTATAAATCAGTTTTTAATAAATAAACTAATTAATGTACACTATTTTTCAAACGGAAGCCGGCTGAGGAGGTGTCCACCTAAGGCAACTAGGGTCGACCTCCTTCAGGAGCGACCCCCTTCTCTTAACCCTCTCCACATACTCGTCCAGGACGTCTTGCTTCTTTAAAATGATGTGTTTACCTTTCCAGTACTTCATCATTCCCAACGCCTGCAGCGTGGATACGATGTCGTAAGAGTGGATGGCCATCTCCTGGCTGATGTCCTTCACGGAGAGTTGGGTACCCGCCCTGGAGCACAGATAGCCTAACAGAACGTCTTTCCAGTACGATCTGTAGGAAATAAGGCCAAGGTCGCTGAGGGGCTTCTCTGGAGAGCCGATTTTGCCTTCGACTCGAGTTAGGAGGTAACCTGTAAAGAAAAAAGAGTTTCTTCAGAGTTATATGCTAACTTGGACGCTATTTCGAAAGATGTATGAGTTACTTAGAAAGCATAAGTGATTTTTCAAAAATACATATATTCTATTATTAGCTCTCACATGTTTTTACTAATTTTTAAGGTTTTAAGCTATTTCAAGCAAATTAAAAATATCTTATCAAATGAAATTAAACAATGTTCTACGACATCAGACACCGGTATGCAAAAGATATTCAACCTCACTGGCAAGATTGTTAACTGCTGATACTGCGGGAAACAACTACTCATGGGCTACGTGCCCCACCTGGTATTGTATTACACCCCTCCTCATTAGACAGTTAACAGATAATTATTCAAAATGAAATCTAAAACTGAAATGTTTAAATAACAAGATTTTAACCCAACAACTAGACTTTCTCAAAGGATTTTGGCGCGCTGAATTCGAATCCCAGGTCCAAATTTCTCAATAAGCTCTGGTTTTTGAGATATTCTAACCTAAAAGTGCCAAAATCGCGAGTTTTTGGCATACTTGAGGTTATGTTACATGGATAGATACATTTTTTGCTGAAACAATTAAGCCGGCCGCACATTGAGATGCAGGTGATGCAGGCAACGCAGGGCAGGGTAGTGCAGGTTTCTGTATTCAGTACAACTTAATAGACCCGCGCGAATTGGAACGCAAAGTAGGGTAGCACAGAACTGCGTTTAAGTAAACCTGCATAGCGCAGTCTTCCGGACCCAGTTTCCTGCACCACGTACTTAGTAGTTTTTGGTGTTTGAAAAAATTGGCTCATAAAATTCGGACGATAGTGCAAATTCCCCTTGAGTATTTCTCCTTTTCATATAGTTGCTTTTCCAAAATGACTCTTTAAAATATTATATAATAAAACAGTTTCTTCAAATTCTACGTCAGAATCTGACTCGGAACTGTCCAGAAACAACGCCATGATCAAAATTTAAAAACAAAACCTTTTAATGCCCAAATATATTGTTATCGCATTCGCATATAAGCAGGAACTGCCAAGACTGTGTTTCAAGTAGCGCTCACACTGCGTGACACGTTTTTTCCTGAACTGTGTAACCTGCCCTGCCCTGCATGGCCTGTGTCGCCTGCATCTCAATGTGCGGCCGGCTTTAACTCTCTAAAACGCTCTCGTATTTATCCCGATATTATTTTTCGTTATAATAGTTGGACATGGGTAGGGGAAGGTGGATTGGATACGTTTAGCCCAAACAAGTGAATATTGCTTGTCTGGTTCTAGGAATATGTAAAAAGTAGTTTTTCTGCCATTACTACCTGTCATAGTAGTTGGATGTTGATCGGTTATTGGGAGGTATGTAGGGCAGTGGACGATGAGGGGTGGGTCCGTTTAGGCTAAAATCAATTGAATATTGTTTGTCTGGCCCCAAGTTATAAAAAAGGGAATAATTGAGTGCACTCCGTTTTTCAAAGAGTTGGGGAAACTCATGGTAGGGAACCAGCAGTTTGTACATACACACATAAACACAGTGCCTATTGAAACTGATAAAGCAACTGAAAATTAATGAAGATTGTACTGTCAGAAATGCTATTAGAGAGAATGAAAGATGGAATAGGTTTCCGTCTCGTTTTGAAAAATAGAATTTTCCATATTTTCTGTATTTAAGTACGATTTTTCGCGATTTAAAAGAAATGGAGAGTGATGGAACCTTTCTGGCCCTAGATTCGAATTCAACGCATCAAAATACATATAAATAAGGTCCTGCAATAGTCGAGGAAATGAAATACTGAACCTCTGAAATCTGTGCAGTAAGATGGATCGTGATGCGGTTTTTTGCATTCGATTCGCTAGAGCGTCCAGAAAGTTTGTGACTCTATGTGATCAATGAGAAATGAAAATTGCATCGGTGCATAAGAAAAATGTATTTTTCAAATTGCATCTCGAAGAGTTAAAATATGAAGAATTTATAACTCGGAAAATATTGACGGAAATAAGTTCAATTTTGCTACTCGGGGTTTTTGGGGTCGCAACGGTCTCCGAGGTACCTAGTGCCCAGGGTGGCCGGTTTCCACATCGTCTCCTGGAGTTTTGTGGAAATTCGTTATAAACTTAGCCGAAAGTCGTTACCTCGGAGTTTTTGAGGTCGCTCAACACGAACATCACGACGATAACGGTTTTCGAGGTACCTAGTACCCAGGATGGCTGGTTTCTGTGACAACTATTTTATTCTTAATTATTTTTTATTATAAAAATACATTTACTTATTCTATAATTCTAGTAATTCTAGCCCCGAATTCGGATTCAGCGCCTCAAAATGCATGAGGACACTAGGTCTAATCTTTGGAACAAACCACTTTTCTTTTTTTGTGTACATGTGTAATTAAGTTATGTATGTAGAAGGCAATAATTTTATCAGATTCAGTCACTACCCTGGTCTGAACTCTATTTAAAATTTTCATGTTGGTTTAAAGCGGTAAATTGGATAATGAACCCTACTGACGTCATGCAAAATTTTAACAGCATCATAATTCAGTAATAAAACATGCTATTGAATTAAATCGGACGCCGATTTTTGAATGAGACGATGGCAAACATCGAGGTTTAAACACGCACACAATCTGCCAATCTAAAAATATAAATTAACGAATTAGATTTAATACCCGGAACAATGATTCTAACCGAAAGACGTACCGAGATATATTTTTTATTTGCCCAAGTCCTAAAATAAATGATTATATCAGAAGGTTCCAAGAAATGTTAACAAAACGAAAATTATACAGTAATAATAATTAAGCAAATAGGAGACTATCTGTTCTAATAATTTGTTTCACGGAGATATGTGAAAAAATTGTGAGAGCAATTCAAATAGAAGCGACAACATATAGACAGAGCCGTGTGAATAAAACATTGAGGCCCAGTCACTCATAAAATTTTTATATAAAATTACACACCACATCATTGGTATTTTGATACCACAATAGGTAATGTAAAATTACATCTCACAAGTAAAGTTACATAAAGCATGTAATTTTACACGTTTATGTATCTATATTTACCAAATGAGAAATTTTACTAAGAAACAGGAAAACTATATAGTCTATTCAATAATGTATCAACAGATAAAACATTGAATACTATCAAAAACAAATTAGAAATGATAGCAATTTGACAGATAGATCTAACTTAGGTATAGGTTGCATAATGGAAATATTAAGTTTATGTATAAAAATACATATTTTCAATTGAGTAATGAATTTTATCACTAATTTCGGAATGGCAATGAGGTCTTCATTATCACCAATTTTGAGTAATATTTTTATGAAATTTGAAGAGAATTATGTTAACAATTTAAATAAAAAGCCCTCTGTTTGGTGGATATATGTAGACGATATTTTTGCATTTTTTTGAATTTACCATTGAGGAATTAAATATATTTCTAGATAATATTAATACCAGGAACCAACAATTAAATTTAGTTTGAAAATAGACTACCATTTCTAGATATTTTAATTAAAAAAATGGCAATTATTTAGAAACAAGTGTTTATAGGAAACTAATTCACACAAACATATCTAAATTTTCATTCAGATCATCATACTGATATAAGGAATTTTTAATAATGAATTGAAATTCGTAAAAATGTACTAATAAATAGTCTTAAGGAATTTGAAATTTCAACAGATTTATTGTTGACTTTAGAGCATGTTACAATATGTTTGACAACAGATATGAGTTGTAGACATTTGCATATCAAGTAGTTGTAAAAATTCTGATAGTGCGGCAAGAGCTAGGCAGGATTCCGTCTCTGCTTAAACAACTGCAAACTCCCAGGGTAGACATTCGGTCACGCCCACGGCAACGAACCTCTCTCGTGTGGCCTCTGGTCTAGCCATACTTGTTGAACCCGCGATGTTCGTTTAAGTCTCTCCCAGAATGTTTGATCTTCTTGGTATGCCCAGATAAATTATGTCTCTTCCTCTAGGTCTGAATTTCGTTGTTTTCGGAATTTTTCGCTGTTTACAACATCTCTTGGGGCGGTCTGGGGCTGCCTGGAGAGAGTTTCGACGCAACGGCTGAAAATTTGGTAACATCGGTGAAAAGTTGAGATGCATGAAGCTGCGGTGGCGGTGGCGGCCGCTGTGTGTGGAGCGGTTTTTGCTACTTGGAGCGGTTTTGATCGCAACGGTGGAAAATTTGGAAAGATTGGTGAAAAGTTGACGCGCCATGCTCTGGGCATCATTGTATAGGAGATTCGGGTGACGATTGATAGCGTTTTGGATGGATTTTCTCAGTTTTCTGATTCCGAATGGAAACTGTGCTGAATTTTGAAAACGCTCGGAACTGAAAGTACGACATTTAACCACGTTAGCCTTTTCTCAATTATGATATTCCAAAAATCATACCTTTTCCATAATACCCTTCTCTATTCTATTGATGGTTAATTAAGCTGAATAATTTTTAAGAATACTTTACCTGGTGATGATGATCATATGTTTGATGCATTAACATCAGTACAAGCTATATTAGAATAAAAACTTAAGAGATATAATAATACTGACTGCACCTGATCGTACCAATGACCATTATTGGAAAATCCTGCATACAAGGAAATGATTTCGAATTTAAAATAAACTGTTATAATTGGGTATTATATTATTGAATAATTAAGTAATTCAATTATCACTTATTACCACTTTATTAACAGAACCAACATCTTCCCTCAGGGCGCAATACTTTAATTAGTTCCTTAAATAACATCTATTTCTTGTACTCCGTTACATGTTTTGCAGAAAAAATCTCCCCATGTAATTAAGGTGTAATTAAATTATAATAGCTGCATAAATACATTCAGATTCATTCACGTCGGAGTAAATTTACTGAAAATAAATTTATTATGCAGACGATCGCGATGATTGTATTAACTGATTAGCAGAACGAATCATTTGTTGAATAAAATAAAATATCTTGGCTTGTTACTCTCGGTGTTTAATCGTCTCATTACGTTATTTAAAA